GGGGAAGATGAAAGAAAGAAAGGAACAACTGGCTCTGTTCTGCAGGAACTTATTCCGGATTTAGCTGGGGATTCATTAGCATAAAGTTACCAGTCGTGTTTCTGAAAGAAATGTTCGCTCATTGAAGGTGACCGCTTTTCCCCCCTCAAACCAAATTCATAAATTCATCATATTGTCCTGATATTTTTGCTGGTACCCATTTCTACTTCTGGGTGCTGAATGGAGAAAGGCATTGTATAATACTGAGAAGTATCACGCCTAACAAAATGTTCCACCCTTGCTTGGAATCCGGACCTTTCCTTTCGACTAGGAGTTGGGAAATGAATGGGAAAGTAACAAAAGAAAGAGCATAAAAAGAGATGTAAACAGGAGAAATGTATCAACTCTGACGAACGGCCTACATACTTGATTACTATTGGGTGTGAAGGGGCAGTTGTCACACGCGTCTCCGAAAGCGTCACCATCCTTATTTGCTTGCTTTCTGTTTGGAACCGCAGGACAATTATCGAAGATATTTCTGAGGCCTACAGAGAAAGAGGAAGGTCGATTAGTGCTTTGAAATATCCTGCTTGTTTATCTGATCTCAAACTTTCGCACCCCACCCTAAACATACGTTACGTTGGGCGGATTAAGAGATTTTTAATAGGTAGAGTCCAAATTTAGATTCTGAAAACACAGACAGTTTTGTTTCACACAACCTTAATGGAAAAGGACATATTTCAAGATGAGTAAATTTTGAGGTAAAATGCGACCATGTCGTTAAATTTTTCTTTGTTTCAGACGGGAAGTAAAAGAAAAAAAGAAAAAACCAACAGGTCTGATTGGGGAAGGGGGTCGGGCACTGCTTACCATCTCCATCTATGTCAGGGTCACAAGCATCCCCTATCCCATCACTATCCGCGTCATTTTGTTCACGGTTCGGAATGTCTGGACAGTTATCACAATCATTCCCGATCCCGTCACGATCTGTGTCCCTCTGATTTCTATTGAAAACATGCGGGCAGTTGTCCTACAAGAATAATAAATGTGTTCAATTCACTGTCTATTAGCGCGAGTGTCATAAATACTAAATGTGTTCAATCACTGTTTCTTAGCCCGAGTGTGATAAATAATAAATTTGTTCAATTCACTATCTCTTAGCGCGAGTGTGAAAAATACTAAATGTGTTCAATCACTGTCTCTTAGCCCGAGTGTGACAAGTACTAAATGTGTTCAATTCACTGTCTTTTAGCCCGAGTGTGATAAATAATAAATGTGTTCAATTCACTGTCTATTACCCGAGTGTGATAAAGTCAGATTACGTAGGTCCGTCAAAACTTAAGGACGATTTATCTTATCCGGTGACCACGAAAACTGCGGAAATGATGCTTTATAAAACGAGCACTGAAAAGTGGAGTGAATCAGAGCTCAAACGGTTTGATTGGTATAAAAGACAGTGGACTCATCCTTGCAGTCAATGCAGCTTCAAAAGTCCTTAGACGGGGAAGGGACATGCATTCACTTGGCCTAACAGGGCCTGTGCTGGATAATGGGGTGTGGCTAAAAGGAATCTGGAGTCTTAAAAGATTATTATTTGAGGTTTGACGGCCTCGACGGTCCCCCATTCACATACACCAAAAAATCCTCACGATTGTTTGCAATTAATAGAAGATGTTGTCAGCTTCGTCAATCCTGCACTAGAGAGACTTAAAGAACTATTCCCTAACATGGACACATAACCAATTACCCTGAAATCTGCCAATCTGTCACCATCCACGTCCAATTCACACATATCTCCCACACCATTTTTGTTCACGTCTTCTTGTTCCGAATTTGGAACATTTCTACAGTTGTCCTAAAAGAATGAAATAAACGAAGATTGATTATTAATTTTTAAGGTCAAGTTTTAAAAGTGGGAATTGTTGAGCCACAAGCTTCTTTGAAGGTTATAGGTCATAATTTTCCGAACGAATAGACACATTTTCCTATAAAACGTGTCCAGGGCTTTAGACTAAGTAAACCACGACAGTCACAAGCTTCCACAGGAAACGATGGTTTAGTGTTTTCATTTTTTGCCGGAGTGGTTTTACCTTCATACAACGAGGATCTCCAGTACAGCTTAACTTCTCATCCGGAATTCCGTCCATATCCTGGTCATTACCACACACGAATCCATTTCCAGCCAGGCCAGGTTTACACTGTTAAAAGGAAGACCGATGTTAAAATTAACAGAAGTAATGAGAAGAACAATGAACATGGACAGGTCAGCGCAGTTTCGCCCATCATACTATAAATATACCGCAACTGAGCCTGGGTGGGAGTAACCGCAAGCAAACCAAAGCAATAATTTTTCACAAAATGTACTTTTATACTTTTTACCTGACTAACTTAAGTCTTTGGGTAAATAGCAATATAAAATTAGAAACAAACAAACAAACAAACGCAACAAACGATTTCTTTCCATAATTTTGCGCCGCACATGTTTTGAACCTTAACTCGTTACCAGGATTCCTCCTTCTTTTCCTCCCTTAGAAACAAAGTAAGCCATGCATGGGTGAGGAAAGGACAAAAAACTGAGAACAGGATGAGAAAAAAAATAATAACAAATAAATTTTGAGACAGTTTCCCTTACCCTGCACTCAAAAGCTGCTCCTTCCTTGGTTGGTATACATTCCGCTCCTCGGCCGCAAGGATTTGTCTTGGGATCACCTGAACAAAACTTGACGCGAACACATTCACTGTGAGGATCTCCGACATATCCATCCCGACATGCACCACAAGAATAGCTTCCCTGCAAATGAAATTTAAGTCCATCAATTAAGAGCGTTGTCTGTTAATTATCTCATATGGAGAGGTAATGAAGAAAATGTGATTCTCTTACTCAGGCTATCACCCCGGAACAATGGGGCCTCCAAGCAGGGACTCACCATGAGGCAAGAAAAATGGTGATAATTGCTGGTGATAATGGTAATAACAATAATTATTATATCTCTCAATTAGCATGTGCGCTATGATTGGTCAATTTAGCGGGCCTTGCTGCTAATTTTAAAAGTTAGCTTAAATTAAAAGCTTCCCCCCTCCCCTGCTTGAATTCAGAGATAGAAAGAATATCTTACTAGCATCGTTTTCTCGTTCGTGCAGTATGTTACGGAGCTTCGTTATTTTCCGCTCACGTGATCCGTAACATACAATAGGGATTTCGTACTCAGTTAGAAAGAAGTATTAATGATGATGATGATGGCAATAATAATAGCAATAATAAAAATAATAATGGTAATGACATTGATAATGACCGTAATAATTCAGTATAGTTTAGATGATGATGGTTATGACAATGTTTGTATACTTTAGGTAATAACATGATTTCGAGTGCAATTCGTTGTAAATAAGCATAAGTAAATTTTTCAAAGGCAACAAAATTGCACGAGCCCGTGGGGCAAGTGCGATTTGTAGTCTGTAGAAAAATTTACAAGTGCTTATTCCACCAAGTTTCAAGAGAAATCATGTTAATACTTGTTAATACTGTAAATGAAAAAACATCGTAGAAGTCTCGACAGACGAAATTTTGAAAGCGAGCGCGCGCTATTTGTAATTGCACTCGTGTTACAACTTTGCACTCGTGTTATATGGGAATGCCCACGTTTTCAGCCAATCAGAGGCGCGTAATTTTTTTTTTAAACGTTATCAATATTAATAACTTACTTGTGTATTAACGCATGTTGAAAAAACAGAGCAACCGCCATTTCTACCGTCATTGCATTCATCTACGTCGTGACAAAGCTAAAGGTAAAAAATTAAAAGAGGATTAACGCTAAATTGTCAGCCGTAGTAAATTGGAGAATATGTCTTTTTGAATGTTTGTCAGTTTACGAACCTTGTCGCTCAGGAATAAAATTTGCTAAAAATGGAAAATTGACTTTACCTGTTTGATGTGTTCAGCAAAGTCCCTGCCGATGCCCACGGTAGAATTACCCAGAAATCCTTTAGGGCATGCACTGCACTTAAAGCCCGGCTGGAGATTGGTGCAAGTGGCATGCGGTGAACAGGGCGAATATAGACACTGACGAGAAAACAGAACGACAAAATGAGAATGAAATTTCTTCCTCTACGGCGGGTACGCTCGTAACACATCCTAGGTGAAAGCGTGCATAACAGCGAATAAAATTCTTTTATTTCAGGCAATTGGAGGAAAGGTAGCGCGTAGCGAAAGCGTGGAGAGAACATAGGGAAAGTCAAGCCTCTCACCTGTGAACGCAAAAAATTTAGCGCCTATTCAGCAGACTACCTGATTTTGCATCACTGCGCACCGCGCGAAAAGTCCCTAAGACATCATCTACAAGGGTACGCTTAGTCGTCAAGTGATAACTGAGAAAAATCGGTCTGAAACTGACGCGCTGATTCGTTATCTTTTCCAAATAGTTTCATTTAAGCAATACACCGCACTTCCTCTCGGTTCACCGGCTTAATAACCCACGCGGGATGGAAAAACACGAGAAAAGATTGCAAATTGCAAATCACTCGCTCCAGATTTACAATATTTTATCCTTTTCTCCCGATATCCTGCGTGGGTAATTACACCGGTAAACCGAGATAAATTTTAAAAAGTCTATGCTTGCAGTGATTTTAACTTTACAAATAAACGATAAGTTTAGCATCTCAGTTATTTTATAAATACTTCCGGTATCAGCTGAGAACATGAACCTTTTTCGGCTTAACTTAAATTGTGTAATAACCTGGTTGAATGTTTGCTCAGGCAAGGAGAGTTGTGGTGTAACGTTAAACAAATAATAACCACAAAGAACGAAACAAAGCGAAGCGTGACAAACACAAAATAATTTAACTCCCACTCCATCCTAATAACATAACAAGAACGTGTGAGACTAGAAAAGATATCCTTACATAGCTACTTTCCTCCGAGTTATTAATCTTCTTTGAGATCTTTCATCGTTTGCTACTGTACATGTATCTATAATGATATTTTTGTGGCGGCTTTACTCGACAGGTGAAGCTAATTCAGTCTGCTCCATCAGCGATTTGATACAATAGAGAGAGAATCGAAGTGAGAAAAAGGCGCTATTACACGTTTGAAATAATTTGACAGAGATCGGTTTTAAACGTAACAAGAACATTGACAAATTAGAGACAATAATTTTTTGCAAATTAATAAGAGGGTCGTTAAACCGTCACTAATTTCCATGGTAACATTTTGCTCCTAGAGTAATTCCTTAGTTATCTGCCAATTATATTTGTCATGTTTGCTTTGGTTAAGCTTTTAAAGGCAATTTTTAGCGCTTAAAAGGTTCAAAGAAGTTCGTCTTTAAATTCATAATACTGATACTTCGATTTTCTCTTGGCATTTCGGCGTTTTATTTGGTACCTATCACAATGAGACTTGCGTTCAAGCGAAAACTCATAATTCTACCGTGTCTAGTCTTTCTGATTGCAGTTGGGAATGTTTTCGTGTTGGTTTATCAACACCATGAAAAATCACCAGTCAAAAAAAGCAACCAAACTGTAACTGTCTTAATTCATGAAAAAGCGCCGAGTAGCTATAATTTTCTCAAAGCTCTGCGTGTAGAGATCAAAGAAACATTCAGACGATACGAAGCTAAGGAAAAAACTGTCGGTAAAAATTATCAGAAAGCTGCATTTTATAAGAAGCAAGGCAGATATAGGAGAAATTCCATCGCCTTTCCTGATTGTCAGCCCACACCGTTCCTCTTAATTGAGGTTCATACAACGCCGCAGAACTTCATGGAAAGAGAAGCCATACGTCTTACTTGGGGGCGACCGCAAAACGCTATCAATGCAGCAAACGTAGGGGAGCAGTTAAATCCAAGGTTAGTAGAAATCCAGTAAATGCGGGGTCAGGCGAGTCGATGAAAAGATTGTAATTTGTCCGGTAGAAATCTACATGAAATTTTGGCTTAGACAACTTTTTACAAATTACTTTCAGATTCCGTGCTTTAACATTTAATTACTTTGCGTTATTTGATGGGGGTAATTTATTACAAAGTACCAGCTCATTTATAATCAATTTTCAATTTACACGAGTGCGTAAACAAAAGTTTCAATTTTTCGTTCGTGTTTCATCTAATACACATCTTCACTGGTAAAGAGTAGGTAGTTTAACATTCCCCCAGATTGCTTTGAAACTTTAATTTGAGTCTTCTTCATTTAATTGCAATATCTGTCAATATTTCGGTCATCTCGCCTCCAGTGTCTTTAGTTAAAATGAATAGATAAATTTCTTACAATTGAACAACAAAACCCTCCAAATCAACAGAATATCATATTCTCTTGGCCAAATCTGTTTTCTTTTGCTCAGACATTGTCACGTGAAGCCATTTTAGGCCCTGTACGTACAAACTCTAGATTATGGCAATCGAGGAAAAGGGCCATTCTTCATGTACCAAAAAAATATGATAGCAAAATGAACAGGAGAAAATAAAATTGTATCTGAGATTTGCTCCTGACTTTTCCTTATTCTTCCTTGTCTTTCTCTCTTTAGTTTGTGGAAAACGGTTTTCCTAATTGGACATACGCAGAATAAACGCTTAGATGAGCTGCTTGAGGTCGAGGCAAATCACCACAAAGATTTGGTATTTGGAAACTTCATCGATTCGTACCGAAATTTATCAAGAAAAATGGCTTTTGGAGTTGAATGGGCATCTAAACACTGTCAGGCAAGGTACATTTTGAAGGCAGATGAAGACTCGTTCGTCAACATACTTGAGGTTATTAAATTGCTCAAGAAATACGACCGCATGTACTCAAGAAATACTCCTCTATACATGGGGGCTGCTCTCCTTGCTAAGGAGCCCTATCGGGATAAAGAGAGCAAGTTTTATGTGTCGGAAAAAGACTATCCCCGGCCGACGTATCCCCCGTACGCAGCCGGGGCAGGCTACGTGTTTAGTGGAAATCTGCTGAGAAATCTTTCCACCGCTTTAAAAGTTGTGAAGTTATTCCCCAACGAAGACGCATGTTTCGGCGCTTTAATGCAGCACAACGGGGTCAGTTTACTAAACAATGACCGATTTATACCCTTCTCAACGGGAAAAGCTGTTTATCGTAAGGAAGGGGGATACAGCTTGTGCAGGTTTCACAGTCCTCTAGTTATTCATAGAGTTTCCGGAATACTTCAAATTCAGACTCATTTTAATGTCTTGGTTTTACGGCATGTACCGACGATTTGCCAGCACATCAAACATGGAATAGGCGAAGATGACAACTTCGTTGATGATGAGATTTGGTAAGGCAAATTGAAATTCATCGGTGAAGCGGCAATACCTTTTAAGGCTGTCTGTCCTAAGTATAGGCCAACATCTTTTCTGATTCAATCGACCTTTTTCTCGGTATTACGTTCGATGCGATGGTAAAAAAGTAAGTTCATTTAAAAAAATTTGCAAGTTATTTTAAAAATATCTGCATACTTTTGTTGATTATTATCTATTTTAGATGCGACAGAAGAACCTTAAACCTAATCCACATAAAGCTGCTTCTCTAAAGATAACGGGATCTCAATTGGACAATTCGTCCTCTGTTGTACTTTTATGTATACGAAAACTTAATTAAAAAATCGTTCCACAATTTCTTGCTACAACACTGTCCACTGCGAGAGAGAACATTAATTTCGAGATATTGTAGCAAAATCCACAAAAAAAGAAAAGTATACAGAATAACGTGACATTCCATAACAGAGGAATGGATTTATTTGACCGGAGGAAAAACAAAAAGCAAGCTCTCTGGGTCAACGAGAAAAGTAAATTTATATCTGCTTTGTAATCCAAAAGAAGAAAATGCTATCCTTTGTGTTGATTTGATGCATTTTTTTACGGATATGTCTTTGGACCAATCAATCGGCTTTGTAATAATACTTTTAGGGTGATGATATTGTTTATGTTCTCGTAAATATTGTATCAGATGCAAAAATACGTTAAAAAGAAGAGAAAGAACCACTGTTATAAGTACCGCGAGCTATTCTATAAAGATTGTTGCCTCGATACGCGCTATACCAGACCCTTCTCGTGTAAACTAGCATTTACCCCATGCTGTTTCAGATTCGGGATGAAATTCCTTGAACTCCCCATAATGACCCAAGAAACAGTAATAAAACAAATTTTAATCATGGTTCAGACAAGTTTGGTCAGAAAAAACCAAGGCGTCCCGAGTTTTCGATTCACTCAATTATGTGTCTCAAGGACAATGGCCAGGAGTTACTCAAGGTTGTTCCCGTGTTTCCTTTTGGTCTGCTTTAGTAACACACTATGAATTAATAAGGACCCGTGTAAAAGTTTAAAAGAACGAAACATTTTTGGTAGAACGCCCGAGGAGGAGACGAACTTCTTATTATATAATGCCTCCAAACAGTTTTAACCACAAAGAGATCTGCAGCTCATTTTGAATCATGTTTGAAGTTTTCCATCAGTCAAAGGCTAACATGCTAACGTTATTGTGTTTGCTCAGCGAGTATCGAACAATAAAACGGATGAAACCCTACTTGATTGATCGTTATCAGACTTGCTACATAAACAAGGTTTCTCTTCGTGTCTTCTCTTCTCATCTCATTTTATCTCTTCTCTTTCCTTTATCCTCTCCTACCCTATTTTATCGTATCTCATCTTTGTTTATTTACCTCATCAACGTCATCACATCTCATCCCGTCCCCAGTGTATCCCGGCGGACACTCGCCACACTTGAACCCAAGCCCGTCACCAGGCGTATTCACACATTCAACAAACGGGAAACAAGGCTTCAAGGAACACTTGTCCACTGAAATATGAAACCAAAATCAAGAAAGAGAAATCAGCAAAACGTCAATCTAAACTCAACAACACTATGATGTATGAAAGGCAATCGTTGTGTAACTTAAAAAAATTCAAAGTTTTGAGGTAGATTTCCTCGTAACGAATATTAAGAATTGATCTCAAGTATAAGGATGTAAAAACCGACTCTTTTTGCTTAAGGTTTACCGAATTGGTTATCTATTTAAATTTAGTCGTTAAGCTTCATCATTACCATTTTCTCTTCCTGGCGAGAAAGCCCTTCTGGAGCAAACACCGCTTTCAAGAGTTTTCTTAATTGACGTCAGGTCGTCAGACTGAAAGACAAATGGGACAAACAGCATAACTCAAGTAAATCCAAGGCTTAACCTAAGCCACTTTGTGTTGTAAATTCCAAATCCTTGAAAGGAACGCAATTCTGTTCAATCTTGAGCTGCCCATAACTTCCCCTCTCTTCTCTTATGGAACTAAAGCTTCAAATGATAATTTAGAAACGTTCTTGGCTTACTTGGGACTGCAATCTCTCCTTCACATGCAGCAGTGATCTCTGGAGACTCTCTTCCCGTCTCTGTGCCTCTTTCTGCATGTTGACCAGGACCATCATCAAATCTTGAGTGGAATACTGCAAGGAAGGCGCCCCCGGGGCTGCCAGCGATAGCGTCCTAGGCTGGCCTCGTATCTGGGGAGAGTACAAGGAACCTAACAGGAAAGAAAAATTAGCAATGACGTGCACATCTGTCAATCACGTGGATTCCTTGTAGGAGATTCAGAATTTGTCTTCGTTTCATGTTCTTGACAAAATAAATCCGTCTTCCTGCACTCAACGACCGACCCCAAGATCTACCCTTCCTCTTATTCTTGTTACTAACGTGATGCTTTTAAAATTTATGATCCTAGAGCTATGCAGGAAACGTACATGTCGCCTATGAACTTATTATATTACTGGCCTAACTCACCATAGAGCTCTCATATAAAGATTGTGGGAGAGCACCGGAGGGCGGAATCCGAAAGTCTAAGATTTTTCTCTTTGTCCCAAGTTTGAGCCAGAGAAAGCCGTAGGTATGAATTGAAAAGAACAGATATCAGCAGACATACGAAATGTGTTAGGAACGTTACTGATGTACAAATTACCAGCAGAAAAGAGTTCCCCTTCACCCTCCAGCAAATCAGATGGACTGGGAGACAGACAACTTGTGCTGTTCATCAACTCTTCCACTTGCTTGTCAAACACAAACTTGACGTTTTGAAGGCTTCCCTTGAAAAAAGAAAAACAAATAATCGTCAGCCTTTCATTCCTTCAAGTGGAATGTGTCATTAATTCATTGAAAAATCAATCCTCAATTAATTGAGGCGGCACTGTCCTGTTCAAGAAAAAACGAAAAAAAGAGAACCTGACGCGAGGTCGTTTTTCCAAAGTACCGGTAGTTGCCGAAATGTTAGTTTGTTTGTATTTTTTTCTTTTTCATTCATGAACCCAAGGCTCGAACCCGAACTTTCCATTACGGATTCCAGGGTGCTAGCAGTGTCTTTTACGATTATACGATTATATCTTTAGTGCTTCGCGCCAAATTTGTACCCTCTCTATCATGCACTGCACCATAATTGTCCTTACCTTCCAAGTTAGCATTGCACTGTCTGTCTTTCCACTTCTCCTCCCAAATAGGAAAACGATATCCTGAGAAATTTTTGAGGAAGATGGGAAAAATTCCTCTATCTGCGTTAGCAGCTGTCTTCGGCCCTGCATCTTGCAATCCACGTACAGACCCGCAAGTGTTTTCTTGGGATGACTGTGCGGGAAAATGTGCAATGCGATTTTGTGCCATTTACCATCAGATAACGCTCCGATATGGTGAAATGAAGCCTCCCGGATTTTCAACTCTGATGTTTGGTAGGTTATGCCCAGCCGACAAGTCCGATAACAGCTTATCCATACGGAAAGTAAAGTTTTCCCTAAATAGGCAATTGAATCAGTGAGCTTATTGTCTATGAAACCTTTGGGGATATTTTTTTCTTTTACAGCACTCCCATTTATTGAAGAGAAAAAATGATGCAATAGCTACTATTTTTTTCCCCTGTTTACTTTGTGGTGAAGTGAACAAGCTATTTAAAATTCCTCCTCCTCTTCTTCAATATTTCTAGATATATAACTGTCAAACTGATCTTTTTTAAAATTATTTAATTACAAAAGAAAAAACAAAACAGAACAAAAACGGAAAAAACAAAACAAAAAACTCCTTGCAGAGTTACAAAAGAGACACTACTTACGTTACAGTAGATGCATTAATTACAATGATACTTCCCTTACATTTCTGGTACTTACATTAAAAACACTAACACTATTTACATCACAATACCAACACTACATACAATGGTATCACAAGTTACACAGCTTATTATTTTAAAACTTAAATTACAGGGGCTAATTTCACTAATTTTTTTCTCAAAATTGGCTACGAATTATATTTTGGTCTCTCTTCTATTCCGTTATTTTTATTTTATAAATTCTTTTCTTTTTTATTTCTTTCGAGCGAAAACTCAGTCAAACTGAAATTTCTACCCATATAGAACCCTGTGAACTCTGCCAAAATTTAGTTGTTTGGGAGCATGAAGTATACAACGGACGTATTGTTTAAAAATTACTTTATTCCGTCGAATTTCCGAGCAACACGAACAACACGAAAAGCGCGCCCACTAGCTGAAGGCGATTGATAAGGTTAATGGAAGAACCAACAGAACTAAACTGTAGATATTTAAAGCCTGTCAAATTACAAAAAAGGAATGACGATAAAAAACGTACCTGAGATCTTGGCGTCCATCGAGAAAAGTGTTCCATGTGAAAAATCTTTGACCTTCAAGTTTGCAACGACAACAATTTGTCTTTCTTTGATCAACATTCGTCTGATTGTGTCTAAGACTTGCCTCGACAATTCCATTCTAGGCAGGTGTTTTCCGATTTTGAAAGCATTACCAGTCTCTCTAATAAGGCCCTGAACTTGATTTACGCCTTCCGTGTTGGAATTGATGCCAAAAACCTCAAAAAGGTCTATCTCCGCTACAGAAATAAGATAAAACATATAATTAAATTGGAGAGAGAATGAATCAGGATCTTAAAAGCTACATGCATGCGCGCAACTTAGAAGTGATAAAGTTCGTAACACAAGGCACAGTAGTGTTGGACGGTCTCTAGTGAATAAGGTTGGGCCGATACCGTTTCTCAAATTGGTACCATACCAAACACAATGATGACCTTTCTCTTCAATAACGATATCGCAACTGTGACGTCATTGAGTTCACTGATAAGACACGTGGTCCTCTTGATTAGTGCAAATACAATTTTTTTTGCACTTCATATGTTTATTATTGATGTTCAGGACTCTGTAGTAAGGTGAAAAACACAGACACAAGAACATATTATGGAAAATGTACATTTCTTGAACTGATCGTTGTTCATTTCACTCTTGCAGCATTCACACGCCACTTACATGTGACACTGTCCTCTACGCGTGACCGCGCTCTTTGCCTCCAGGAAATGACAAGAAGAACTCACGTGCGGGAGAAGACAAAGTCTGAGCAGGTCAGGTGCGGTATCAGAAAGGAATCTACTCCTCTCGATAGTATCGATATTTCCCGATCTGACCACAGTTTCGCCGGTATCAAATCCTAAGCATTGGTATTGGCCCTCTCTCATTTTTTCTTGCTTCTTCTTTTCAAAATAAGCGGCACTTGACAAACAACAACCAACACAGTAGAAATAGAAGACAACGTCCCTCTTACTGATCCAAGCGGGGTAAAATGCGTAGCGACTTATTCAGGGCCCATAATATTAAAGATCACAGTTAATCGCGCACTGGTTTTTGCGTAAACTAGAAAGGAGAACCCTACGGAATAATTTTGCTTGAACTTACCCGCTGTCGCCGGAGTCAGGGAAGTCGTTGAGACTATAGCAAATAAACAACATAAAAGTGGCTGAATAGAGAACATCCTCACTAATCAATTAGAGCAGCCAAAGAGTCTGAAAAAGAAAACATGAGGATTGATTGCTGTTTTAACTGGAGTAGATGAAATTTGAAAACCTTAAATTATTCTTTCTTGTCATTAGAATGTTGTCTATG